AAGTTTTAAAATTCTGAGTCTTTTTGTGAATAGGGTGTCTGCCTAGCTACAAAGGAGGTACATGGCCCCATAATGACCCTGTTTCTTAAGGTTACGCCCTGGGCATGATCTGAAACCAGAGAATAAAGGGGCTACTGGTGTCGCCTTGAGGTAAAGTGCTCCCCTGACAGTGAGGAACCTTGCAGATTTTATGAACTGCAGTTAGGACAGTTGTCTCATCCTTAGTATGGATTTAAACAAGATTTATAAGCGTGTGAGTATCTTCCATTGCTTCTCCCCACCTAGGAGCAATGCCCAGCACTGCCCAGTGGCTTTCGGTGCCAAGAGCCTGATCAGTGAAGAGTATCATCTGAGGTCAGGCTCGCCAGAGGCAGCACCTGAGATGGGATTCTCGTGCAAGGGATTTCCTGGGGCATGTGTTTGGGGGAAGAGGAGTGAAGGGAGCCAACAGGGATGTGGTTTTGTTAGGGTGGAAAGGCTAGTAGGTGCTCACGGCACGGGTGGAGAAAGATTTCTCATGCAGAAATTAAGGTATGAAAGTAAAAAAGTTTATCTTCTTAGGGGAGAGAGAGAGAGAGAGAGAGAGAAAGGAGAGAGGGAGGAAAGAGAGCAGGGAGATGCAGTGGCATCCCAAAGAAAGAGAAGGGGATGCCAGCAGCGGGGCCAAGTGACTCGCTGACTTTAAGGGGGATGAAAAGAAAAAAATAAATGGTTGTCAGTCGATAACAAAAACTGCAAGGAGGTCAAAGTCCAAGCCTTGGTTTCCTGCCCTTCCTTGTAGAAAGGATTATCACAGGAGATGTGACTCTGCCCTCGATATATATGGTCGAAGCTGTAGCTTGTTCTGCTGTTTACTCAGGAACTCTGTAAAAGCAGATTCTCAAAAAAACAATTGTGAAAGAGAGAGATTTACATCTCTTTTCCGTGCACTCAGCTTTCTTTAGAGGTTGTGCAAAACAGAACTCCTGCAGGGTACCTTTTAGAGAACTCATAGTATTGATCTTTAACTGTTACTGGGGAAACTGTAGGATTAGGTACTTTCCTGTTATTTTTGCAAGGCTGCCGCTTTCAGTCTCGGCTGGAATCTGCTTCAGCCCAGTCCCATGGGGAGCTCCGGGACAGAATTGCACAACAAAGTTGATCCCACCTTGAGGCAAAGGCAGCATCCTTTGGTACCTATGTCAATCAGAAGCTGCAGGCCGGGCGCGGTGGCTCACGCCTGTAATCCTAGCACTCTGGGAGGCTGAGGCGGATGGATCACTGAAGGTCAGGAGTTCGAGACCAGCCTGAGCAAGAGCAAGACCCTGTCTCTACTAAAAAATAGAAAGAAATGATCTGGACAACTAAAAAAATATATATATATAGAAAAAGTTAGCCGGGCATGGTGGCACATGCCTGTAGTCCCAGCTACTCGGGAGGCTGAGGCAGAAGGATTGCTTGAGCCCAGGAGTTTGAGGTTGCTGTGAGCTAGGCTGACGCCACGGCACTCATTCTAGCCTGGGCAACAAAGCAAGACTCTGTCTCAAAAAAAAAAAAAAGAAGCTGCAGAATGCTTAGTGGGGAGGGCATTATGAGGTCCCAGGCAAAGCGACTGTGGTATCCATCCCCTAAAGGAGTTCTAGGTGGCGCACCAGCACCATCCACACAGGGAGCCACTGTGTTTGCTCTGACACGCCTCTGTGCCTCCTTGGAAATCACAGCTGTGGTAGGAGAGGAGTACAGAACTGAAGACTTCTGGCCAGGGCAGTTTAAATGGCTAGTTTAAACGGCCATGTTGGTGCTGACACTCAGCCAAAGGGTAATCCATGACATCCCTTCCTGTAGCACCGTCCTGGGAGCACGAGTCGTGAACCGCGTGCTCTGCCCTCTTGTTCCTAGAGATGATGTCTTTGGTTTTCGCTTTTTTTGCTTGTCCTCACCAAGATCCAACCAGAATTTTAAAATTTTTATTTGACTGAGTAGGGTGAAAGAAAGACTTGGAATAGTGAAATAAATGCTGGTTTAAATGTTATTTTCTAGCACTTTGGAATTAATAAAAAGAAGTTAATTCAGAAGCTCTCGAATGACAAAGCGTACAGTTGTCTTGGGTCAAAGCTAAGTAAATTGAGATTCTCTCAAGTTCCAAAGTAAATTTTTGAAGCCATAGTCATTCCTCACATACGTGCAAAAACTGAAACAGTCTTCAGGGCAAATAAGTCTTTACTTCAGGAACAGCTAAGCCTTTAACTTAAATTTAGAACCTCTCTCCTGGTTTGAAAGGGATTCCAGTGAGGTACTGAACATTACAAGAGGCATTGAGAACTGGGTTGGGTAATCATGTGAGATATATGTATGTGTGTGTGTGTGTGTGTGTGTGTGTGTGTGTGTTGCACATGCCGGGACACTCCTGAGAGTAATTACACCGGGATGACAGACATGCACCAGGACTGTCCCAGGGAAACCAAGAGAGCTAAGGTCACCCTAGACATGGGCTCAATGCATCCACTTGGGCCAATTGTGGGCTTTGCTTCTGGCAGGAGGAATATGGGGAAGAGGATGAAGGCAAGAGGCCACCCGTGGTGAATCATTAGTGCCAGTCTTTGGGACATGCAGGTGTTGAGACAGCGTTTGAGGAATTAATCTCTGCTTTCCTTATTGAAATTGCCGGTGCCTATTCTCTAAGTTCCAAGAATGTCACACTGCCATGTAAATGTCTGTTTCTCCTCTGGGAGGTCTCCCCCTTCTAAGCTCTGAGCTCTGCAAGGACAGGGACTAATGTCTTTCAGACCTGTGTCCTCAGAGCTGAATTCTGTATGTGACGTGACGACAGCTCCCCAGTGGGCACTTGGGGTCCTTTCTGAATCCTGTGCCATTTCATATTGCGTATGTGAACGTATGTCCCATGAGTGTTTGGAGGCAAGATGGACGAAGAAAACCTGGGGGAAAGGGCTGAGACGAGGTGTTCCTGACAGAACTGCTTAAACAAAGGTGTGGAAATGATGGCAGGCAAAGAGCATTTGTAGAATAGTAATGTACGTATGCCGTAGGGCAGGAGGTAGAGGAATAATAACAGAAAAGTGTGGGCCAAAATGGAAGCCGGAATTAGGATTTGCGACTATATTCTGTTGGTAGTAGAGAGGCATGTGTTAAGAAGGTTCCTTTGGCAGCCTGTAGAAGGGACTGAAGAAAGGAAATCTCACAACAGTAGCTCCTAGACATTATCACACAGTGGAATCACTTATTTCATCACTTACCTTTATTGAAAGTGCTCACCCCAGACCCTGCAATCCTTGAGTCTGCTCAGTCAACTGGGTGTGGTCCAGGAATCTGCACTTTTTTGAGACAGAGTCTTGTGTCAAAAGAGTGCAGTGACATCATCGTGGCTCACTGTAATCTCAAACTCCTGGGCTCAAGTGATCCTCTTGCCTCAGCCTCCCGAGTAGCTGGGACTACAGGTGTGCACCACCACACCCGGTTAATTTTTTCTATTTTCAGTAGAGATAGGGTCTCACTCTTGCTCAGGCTGGTCTTGAACTCCTGAGCTCAAGGGATCCTCCCACCTCCGCCTCCCAGAGTGCTAGGATTACAGGTGTGAGCCACCGCTCCTGGCCAGGAATCTGCATTTTTAAAGAGGCTCCCAAGGTAATACTAATGCAGGTGATCCTGGGTCTCCGCATGAGCAATGCTGGCTAAGAGCCTGGAGAGTCATTAGAAAACTTATAATCACTGAGAGCAGTTATCTCCAAGATTGCATGCTGAAAAGATATACTAGGGTTTGGTTTTATATTTATGTATCGCCAGTCTTCTGGTTAATTGTATTTTGGGATTGTTTTATTTTTTGTTTTCTTGCTATTTTCTAAATAAAGTTGTATTGATGTTTAACAGACAGACTAAAGTACGCAAGTCATTAGGTGCCTAGCTCAATGAACTTTCACAAAAAGGTCACACCTGTGTGACCACCACCCAAATCAAGAAAGAGAACATTCCAGCACTTCAGGAAATCCCTTCCACTTACCGTCTCCCCAGTTACTGTCTTGGCTTCTAACCCCATAGATTAGCTATTTATCTTTGTCATATCCATTTTTTGTGTTTGATAATGTTCATAATATATTAGAACAGTAGAATATGTATATAATTTAGATAGACATAATGTGGTAAATGCTCACATATTTTTACTGATTGGATGCACAATAAAAAAAAGTCACTCTGCCTGTCTAAAGGACTGGAAATGGTGGTCTGAGCTGAGATGTGGGTCTTGGAAATTGGGGGACCTCTGTACCTTCTCCAACGTCTGCAAACATACTGTCTCTCCTTGGAAGTCTTGTTTGGCTTCAGTGACTCAGAGGGCCTGTGGGTTGTGAAGAGCCTCCTGGCTCTCCTTTGACCTTGGTTGGAAGCCACGTGCCTGGGTGGAAGGCAGCAGCTCTCTGCAGCCCCTCTCCCCTGGTTCTCCCAAGCAGCTCATTGTGTGCAGAGTTCAGCCTAGCCCAGCTACACTTGGAAACCTCTGCTCACCCACACCCCACCCTGGGAAGACTTACAGGGGGGCAACTCAGCCTTTGTTGCTTCAGGCTTTAGAAAGAAGCCCTCTCTTTCCTTGGTGTGATTTTCTTAGAGTTTGTCTTTCCTAAACTACCAGAATTTTGAAATGCTGGATTAGGGTGTGGACTTAGGGGAAAGGGACCAAAAAGAAGACTTCATTGCCTTTTAATACAAACCTTAGGAGGCCTCCAGCTCACCAGTGCCTAGCCCAGTTCACCAGGACAGCCCCAGGGTTTGCATCCAAAGCATTAGTTAAGAATAAAGAGTGATTTTGTCCTCTGCACCTGCCTTCCCAGGGAACCAGGGGAAAGGCCAGCAGCCAGGGGAGGCCGGGGACTTGGCCTGGTCAGGCGGCTCCTTGTCCCACTGCGCCTGCTGTCTGAGACAGCTCTAAAGGACTCGCCTACCTCACTGAGGCCACTCCCGCACATCTGCTTCGCGTTCAGCTAGCCCATCTGTTGGTGCTTTTTCTCTTTCAGGAGGAGATGGGAATTTCCTGTGAGCTGCTGGAATCGGACTTCCTCAAATGCAGCGTGGGATTTCCTTTCATGAGGTCAAAGTCGAAGGTAAGGGACAGAGGCAGCAGGCCCCCACCCCTTCCCACCAGCCACCAACTCCACAACTGCCTCCCCTGAGGAGGTTTCCTCCCACACCCCTGCCTCCTGCAGCAGCTGGGGTGGCTACGAAAGCCCTGCCACGCTCCTGTCCCTGGCCATATACTCCAAGGTATACTCCAGAGGGGCCACGGTCACATGGTATTTATCTTTGACCCCTGTGACATACCCCAAACATGAAAGACACACCATGGCCTGTGCACTTTGGCAAGCAGCATTTGGTTCGCTTTCCTAAAATGTTTTTCCTGGGACACTCTGTGCCACTTTGAGTCCCTGAGACAACTCTGGAAGAGATGAGGTCTGGGCTGGTGACATACAGTCCTGACCTCGTCACTCCCCTGGGCACTGACAGTTTTCTGAAGAGACCTCGCAAAATTCTCAAAACGTAAATAACTGTATTCTACTGCATTTTTTTAAAGAAGTAAAAGAGATTACGGTCACTTTGGTATTTAAAAGGAGACAAATTTTCTAAGCTCAGACAATAGTGTGGTACAGCATATTCTATAGTATAGACCATGGTCTAATGTAGTGGTCTGCTATCCACTGCTTTTGCTTTCAGGAAGCATTTAGTTCAGTAGAACCCAGTGTTGCAAAAGTCAGACCATTGCCTAGGATTCACCATAATGGAACCCAAATATTTAGATATCAAATAAGTCATAGGCTCTCAGAGCTTGATGGAATTTAAGAACCATTTTGTCCCACCACCTCTTTTTATTGAGATGCAAAGGGATTAACTGTCTTGACCAAGATCGCATAGTCAGTTTATGATAGAGCCTGGTTCTGTAACCCCCACCCAAGCACTCCTCTCACATTCCCACACATGCCTGACTCGTATGTGGTGAAAACCATTTGCTTAGGGAAGTGTTCCCCAAATCACAGGATGCTCGCCACTGGGGGTGGTGTACTAAGATGATTTTAGGGGGTTCACAAGATTATTTTGGGCAATACCCAGACACAGCACTAAACAACATTGACTCCAGATATGAGAAAGTTACTGCCTTTTGGCCTTAGTCAGCTCAGGCTTCTATAACAGATTACCATAGGCTGGGTGGCTTAAACAACAGACGTTTATTTCTATCAGTTCTGAAGGCTGGGAAGTCCAGAATCAAGGTCATGGCAGATGCAGTTCCTGGTGAGGGCTCTCTTCCTCGTCTGTAGACAGCACCTTCTCCGTTTGTGCTCATGTGGCCTTTCCTTGGCAAATGCACATGGAGACAGAGGGAGAGATCTCTTTGTCTTCTCTTCTAACAAGGGCATTAATCCCATCATGAGGACTGATCTAATCCAACGATTTAATCCAATCATTGATCTAATCTAAGCCTGATTATCTCCCACAGGCCCCACCTCCAAATACCATCACACTGGGGGCTAAGGCTTCAACACATGAATTTGGGGGAAACGCAAACATTCAGCCCATAACACGTTTCAACACTTTCAGTCCTAACCACACGCAGGAGAAAGTCTCCAAGTTTCCAATAGTGCTAACATATCTTTAACACATTCCCGTCACTAGCCAATCTCCCTTCTTTTGCAAAGACAGTAAATATTAGGCTCAGAGGCTTCAGCAGACAACAGAATCCAAGATGGCTCTGTTTTCATTGTATTTATGACTACTTTCTCTTTTTGGCAAGTGATCCTGGATTCCCATCTATGATAGTGACATAAATTGTCCTTTTAAAATAATCTTTAAACTAGGAGAGGGAGGCAACACAAATACAAAGCAAACATCACAGGTGTTACGATTTGCAGATGTGGCAAACATTGGGATGATGATGTTTGAGTGAAATTTAGCAAGTTCTGGTTAAGAGTGCAAATACATCACTTCTAAAGAGGACCTCAGTGGCCGAACAGGAGCAGCAGTGGCTCTGGCCAGAGTGTGCTCAGGCCTGGTTTCACTGTTAAAGCTGTGCCTGACAGAAAGACGCATGAAAAATAAAGCTTGTCATGCAAATGAGCTTCCAGAGGTCATAAACTACAGAGGATGGTAGCAACTGCCCTGTAAGTTTGGAATGCCTTCTGATATCAAATATCATTTCCTTTTTCCCCAAGTATGAATTCAGCGTGATCTTTGATACAAGCCACCTGTCTGGGGAAGAGGACGTTCTCAGTTTCATTGTTACTGCTCAGAGGTAAGGAGGATTTAAACATTTTTTTCAAAGACAAAAGATTTATGGGACCAGAAAAGGACATGACCTGGTCATGCTTTGACTAGGATGCTGAGGTGGGAAAAATGGTTTCAGTGATAAAGCCCCAAAGTGCACAGTGGAGTCGGATCTCCCAGGGACGGTGGCTGCCTGGTTCTGCTTGCACAGCCGCCACTTCAGACTGAGCTGGGAGGACTGAGCACCAGTCAGCCAGAGGTGATGATTCTACAGATGCGAAGAGACAGGTCCAGGTCCAGGTTCTAGTCCAGGCTCACGTGGCTGGTCAGCTCCCACTTGGCCAGTTGTTCCCCAGAGCAGACAGATGTCCTCTGTGCATTGTCGGGCTGGGTCTGCTGCTTCTTGAAGACATGCCACTGCATCGCTTGATGGAGGGGAAGGACGCCTGCACCTGAGGGCCTGGCCAAGCCTGTTGGCAGAGGCCCCAAGAGACGCCCCTCGAGAGAGGGCTTGTCCTAGAAGCCAAGTGGATGGAAAGGGAAGGGGACGGTGGAATGGCAACTTCTGCCCTTCGGGGTATACACCTGCCCCTCTCCAGCATAGCTGTGAGTGCCTGCGAGTACCCTTGAGAAGTTACGAGATGCCTTCTCAAGCCAGAATCCTTATATGCCTTGAAGGGACATCTAGGTAGTGCTTGGCCGACAGCTTGGATGGCAGGAGAGGTATTTAGATGGGTGACTAGGGAGACACAAGCTTTGACTGGGGTGGTGGTTGGATACCCAAGGCAACCTTTTCATTTAAATTTTTATTTGGAAATGATATTAAACTTAACAGAAACGTTGCAAGAATAGTGCAAGGAACTCCTATGTACTCTTTACCCAGATTCACCCGATGTTAACATCTTGCCTCATCTGGTTTATTATTCTCTTTCTATGTATAATTTCTTTTCTTAACACCATCTGAAAGTAAGTTGCAGAAATCAGGCCCCTTGATCCATAAATACTTCAGTGTACATTCCCAAGAATGAGGCTATTCTCTTAAGTAACTATAGGATAGTTAAAGAATTCAGGAAATTTAATATCAACACACTACTATTATCTCATCTGCAGTTCATGTTCCAGTTATGCCAATTGCCTCGATAATGTCTTTTTAGCAACTTTTTTACTTGTCCACAAGATTTGGTTCTTTTTGTTTATTTGTTTGTTTTTATGATTTGGTTATTTTCTATTCACACTATTTTCAAGATCACATAATTTATGTTCACATAAAACGTGACTATGATCTGTAAGATACGCAAAGCATCGGGAAGGTAGACTCCATTCTCATTGCTCAAATCCAGAAGGGCTTCCCTGGGGAGGTGGCATTTAAAGAGAGGAGTCTGTTTTCAGGCTGAAGCCACACAGGCAGACACAGCAGTGAGAGTGTCCGTGGTGCAACATGCTCTCTCACACTGCGTAGGGGTTGGGCACTGGCATAGGGGATTCACAAGCCTTCTTAGGAGGAGGATGGGGAGCACGCTAGGCAGTGGAAGATGGGGCTGGAGGAGCCTGGGCTAGACCAGGGGGACAGAGTAGCCTCAGAAAGTCTGAACTACACTCCAAAGGCAGTGGGAGCCGCTAAAAGTTTTGAGGAGGGGGGTGACACAGTGCAACAGCTTGGCCACAAAATATGAGACTGTTGAATTAATGAGGTGGGGGCGGGGATGCCCATTCAAACAGGAAAATTCTCATTCTCCTGCCACTTCCTGGACCTACAGAAAACTCACCATTGTTGAGCAGATCCATCAGTGTGCTCTCTTAGTCCTTCCACACCTGGGGCAGCTAATGTTCCTGACATGGAAGAGATTTCCCTTGTTAAAAAGAGGAAACTTCCTGTCTCTCAACCGCATTCGGGGCTAATCAGAAGGGTCAGAGAGAGCGGGGAGCAAATAGCACAATCATGAAAGATTCATCTGCTGGAATAACACCACGGAGCAGTGGTGCTCTGGTTTGGGATGCACACTGAGGAGCTTTGAGAACTACCCATGCCTGCTCTGCCCCAGAGATTCTGACCTCATGGGAGTGGGGTGAGACAAAGGCCTTGGCATTGGGATTTTTGAAAGGGCTCATCTGGTGATTCTAATGAGTAGCCAAGGCTGGGGGCCACCATTTCTAATCCTTACTCTGTGCTGGGCACGTTTTCACTCAGTAAACATCTATTATGCACCTACTATTTACCAACTGCAGTGCTAAGTGCTAGGCACACAAGAAAATGCCAGTAACCTAACTGAATTCACGAACGTCCCCTTGTGTACATTACACTGCTGCATAGCATCAGGAGAGGCCTAGTTTTTATAACTTCAATAATATGAGAATTTCTAATTTTTTGAATCACAGATGTTAAAGAGACCATGCTATCTTTTAGGCACACAACAGAATACATCAGGCACTCGTTTCTTTTCAGGCGTTTGCAAAAATATGGTCTTACTGCCCCAGAGGGCACCCACACCACTTGACTCCCTGCCATGACGGAAGGATCCTTAAAGCTCCTTATCTTGAAAGGCACAGTTAAATATCAACCGTTCCTTTCTTCCGTCACCACCCTTTGAAGGTCTCTTGCCTGCTTGTAGATTGAGGAGGACATAAAGTTGAGACTGAGCAGTTTCTCGAGGCCGCTCCTCTTTGCAGCCACCAGCCTGGCTTTGCAGACCCCTGGACAGCATCCCAGCTCACGAGCTTGCGGAATGACTGGGAGCCTTTTGATGTTTGGCCTCTTTATCTCAACTTTTCAAATTAGCTCATTCTGGAGCAGTCACCCGATGACAGATGAGACTGTCGGGCCTGAGCTGCCAGAGGCCGCAGCAGCCGAACAAATGGCAGGGCAAGACCTGGCAGGAAGCTTGGGTCGGGAGGGAATGGGCCAAGGTGGTGCCATCCCATCCACAGGGAGGTCGCCTCTGGTCCACCCACAGCTGTGCTCTCGAAGTTTTATTACCCCCTGGGAAAGGAAGGGCAAGGGAGTTAGGCTGTGCGGGCACCTGATCCTGCTGCTGCTGCAAATTGCAGTGAGGGACTGATGTCACCCCACATACGGAAGACAGATGAGGAGCCAGGGGCAGCGCCATTGTTCCAGAACAATAGGAGAGAGAAGGAGAGGGGATGTGAGAGCTATTTAAGCTGTTGCCATTCAGCACTTGCTGGATGGGAGAGGAAGGCAGTGGGGCAGGGCACAGAGCAGACAGGAACTCTGCAGATGTTCAGGGAACGGTGTGCTGGGGACAGGTCAGGACCAGCTGCACCCAGACCTCAGCGGGTCTGAGGGACTCTTACGTTCCACCACTGGGGGGTGAACTCGGCTTTCAGCTGGGATCCCCCAATTGCTTTCTGTACCAGCTGTGACTGCAGGCTCCGACAACCTGCACCCAATCGCCATGCCCTTTCCCAAGGCAGTCGCCTCCCTCGAATAATAATCACAATTCTTATTTGAAATTTAATAAAATAGTAAAAGGAAGCTAGATCTTCTCTTTCTTCCTTGTGTCCCTTTTCCTCTCTTCTATTTCTCCTCCTCTCTCTTCCCTCCAATCTTGTATCGAGGGCGGAATGGTAGTGGAAAGAGCCCTGGTTTGGAGTCTGACCAGGCTGGTTGGAATCTCAGCCTTGTCTGGCTTGCAGCAGGGCCTTGGGCAAGTTACCTAACCTATCGGGGCTGCTCCTCACCTGTCAAGGGAGGGCAGTCCCTCTCCCTCAGGAGCTACTCTGAGCCCTCAGGGAGATCATGCTGAGAAGTGCCCGGCGTGTGCCCGGCACGTTGCAGCCACTCAGCAGCATCAGCTCCCCTGTGTTCGCCTTTCCAGAACGGCCTCAGAATGGGAGTCCCCATTCTGAGCTTTCTCCCCCCGAGGGAGATGCCTTATGTGGACATGCCGCAGCCAGAATCTGTAGCAGGAGCGTGCACGTTTTATGTGTACAGTGGCAGGGCTGGCCGGGGCCTCTCTCCTGGGCTCGGCTGTCCATGGGTGATTGGCGATCCCTCCGGGTGGGAAATAACTGCTAAGGCCATTTTGGCTGCAGTGCTCTAACTTCACTGGTCCAGTTTTCATGGAATAAGTACTTATAAAAGTAGTGTATGCAGCAGGTGCCCCAGCCATAACCCCTCAGTGCCCACTCTCCCACACACCCACTGGACAGCTTCTAGCTCTCGGCGCCTGCTGAGGCTTACTCTGGCCAGAGCCCATTCCCCTGCATGACAGGGCAGGTGCCAGGGAACTCATGGCCCCTCCCAGCAGCAGCAGCAGCAGCTCTGGGAGCCAGTGGATAAAGGCCCGGCTCCCACACCCTCAGCTGGGGAGATGGACACTGCCTCCCTGAGTCCCCCGGTGAGACTGAGCCCCGCTGCCTACAGCATGACCCTCCTGGATCACATACCTTTTATTTTCTGTCCCCTCCTTGTCTCCCTTCTCCACTCTCTGCTGGTGTTTCCTGGGGTTGCCTCCCAAATAAACTACTTGCTCTCACATCTTTGTGAATGGATCACAACTAAGACAATAGAGTGTGCTCTGTGACTCTGTACAGCGACCAAAAACAGAACTGAGGACAATAAGGTGCCGACTGCCCTTGGAGATTCAACTCTAAGGTGGAGCAAAGAAAGCCCACTGCCAGATAACTGGTGTTGGCCAGAGTTCATTCGTTCTCCTCTCCCCACACAGTGGCAACGTGGAGCGCTCTGAATCTCTGCATGACAACACGCTCATTCTGACGGTGCCACTGATGCACGAAGTGGACACATCCATCACTGGGTAAGTTGCCAAAACGCAGGGGTGCCCTCCAGTGGAACACTGGGCTTCTCTTGTGTGTGTAGCCAGCCAGGAGCCAGGGGCTCTGCCCCTCCCCCACCTTCCTCCCAGCCTGGAAAAGCAGAATGAAGCTTTAACTGCAGTGACTTGCACCCTCCTCACTCCTTGTTTCCTCCTCTGTCGCAGCTACCCGCCCACCTGGTAGACAACAGAGAAGTTTGATGACAAGTTTAAGCCCCATCATTTCTTTGAACGTTCTGTACACCTTTATATGCATATATTGCCCACTCACACCACTCCTCCGGAATGCCATATGGTAGCAGGCAGTGTGGTTCCTGGGATTAAAATCTCAGCCAGAAGCTTGTGGGCCAGAGGTTACAGCCAGATGTGTCCCAAGCCCCGGAGCACAGGAGGGCTGCCTTTCTGATTAGCTTCACAGTCGGCACTGGCTTTGCTCGTTTCTGTTAACTCCTTCTGCAGAACCAGAGGCTGCTCTGCCTGATGTCTGTGATGGTCTAGAACAGGCAGGTAACCATCACGACAGCCACAGCATCTGTCCGGGTGAAGTCCACGGCCACTCAGTGCTGCTGGCATTGTTGGAAAGCGGGGCTGTGGCTGTGGTCTGTGGGGACCTGAAACAACCCGGGTCAGTTTTCAGCCAAAGCCTGGGCCTGGAAAAATGAGAACTCAATTCCTGTTTTCAGCTTCAGAAAACAGAGTGCATACCTCTTTGATAGTGGAAAAAAGATTTGCACAATTAGTTTAGATCAAATGAGGACCCATTGAACCCTGGACTCAAATGCAAGCTGAACTTTCTGGAAGTTCACAGTTTCTCATTTTTCAGTTTTCAAGTGCTTCTGGGTCCTGGCCTTGGCTAGAATTGGAAAGTTGATCCTTGTAGGAGGAGCCACCCCTGCACTCGCTCACGCTGCGCTGGAAGCCAGCGGGATGGATCTCTGGGCTTTCCTGCTCCTGGCTCTTGGCATTTTCGATCGTGTTTCTTAGACATGAGACACTGGTGGAATATGTTTGCAAAACAGCATATTTTTGCCTCTGCTCACGGCTCTATTTTTAACTGTATAGTTTATTTATTTGTCTCATCAGAGGAGCAGTGAGAACATGCCCGGAACCAAGCCCTACCCTTGGGAACAAAGAGAAAATACTCCCCCCTACACACTTGATCCTGTTGTTGAACCTTAGGAGACCTCATTGTGAGGCGTTAACAGCCGCTGATGAAGCCATCAGTTAAACAAACAAGTCCACCTCTGATCTTGTCAGGAATCTAAAACAGTTCTTGCCATCTGATAACGCTGGGAACTCACTGCATTACAAAAATAATGCACTTAAATTGAAAATAGATGAGTTGCCGTCCATTCAGACTTAGTGCCCAAAATCATACATTGTTGCGTTTAGGTAAGGGAGTGGCTTCTAGCATCTAGAATTTGTCATTTGTCTGGGAGTATCAGTCTGAGCTTCATTGCTTCTCAGGGATTTGTTCATACAAGCAATGTTGAAAGCGGTGCTACAAACTGAGCCTGAATTCTTTTCACCTCTTATGTGGCCTCTGTTTGAGATCTGAGGGAAAATGCTATCATTGGACAGACTCGGCTTTCAAATACCTAATTTCTAGTAATCTCGGTAGGCTGACAAATTTAAGTTTTTTTAAATGAATTTGTCACAGACTGGGGTTTGGTATGCCAAATATGTAATTCATTTATATTTATTTTAAAAAGCTTATCATCCTCTTCTTTGATCCATAAAATGTTTTTCAAATGGCAAAACAGAAAATGTATACTTTTATAATCCAGTTTTTTAAGAAGTGAAAGCCATCATGGTCTTCCTTCTCACTGCATAAATGTATCCCCCTGTGTATTTCTCTATGTGGCTTACTGATGTGAGGCAAGAAGTGATAAGACACTAGTAGAGATGTCTGTTGAGAAAGCACAGTCGGGCTGCGTCTTCTCGCAGAAAAGGAAAGGAGCAGCTGCAGAAGGAAAGCCGTTGGTGGAAGACACTGGATCGCACAGAGACAAATGTCTGGGTTTTCGGGATGGCAGTGACCATGGATGCTCGACTGTGGGTTGGGATGACAAATCTCATGCTTTCCTCTTTCAGAATCACGTCTCCGACCTCCTTTGTGTACGGCGAGTCTGTAGACGTGTCCAACTTCATTCAGCTGGATGACTTGGAGTGTCATTTTCAGCCCATCAATGTCACCCTTCAGGTACCAGCCCCTGGAGACCACCTCTGTCACTGGGGGATGACAGAAAGGTCCATGGGTTGGGTCTCCTACTGAAAGACAGCTAAAGAGTTAGGCTCTTTTCCGGAGAAACCCTTCCCGGCCTGGTTGGCTGGTGCGGGGTGTGTGTGTGTGTGCGCGTGTGTGTGATCTGTAACCACACTCAGAACGAATCCCTTCCCTGTCTGGTACTCTACTGCGCAGACCCCTCTGCTTTTCAAGACTCGGAAGGAGAACTAAACACTATGAACGTCAGTTTATCAGTCTTCCTCAAGAGGGCCTCTGGATGGTTGAGGCCTAGGCCCAGCCCAAACGGTCCCATAAGGACCCCTTTTCTGTTCTTCATCGTTCTGCAGCTTCTGGGCAAGGGTGCCTCAGAGCATTTGCTGTGTCCTCTTCCTCCTGGGGTTGCCATGCTGACTCAGCCAGGAACCCACGCCTCCCACGGGGGACTGGCCTTTCAGAAGTGTATTTTATGACAGCAGAACAATGTGAGCACGTGTAAACCCCATGGGAGGAAGCTGCCGCTCCTCACCGAGCCCTGGCTGGCTCACCCCAGTCGCACAGGTATCGTTTCCCACATGTCCACTCGGGACGGACTGTGGGCCTCTTGAAGGACACTGTTTCTTCTCTTAATTGAAGGTTGGCAGACTTCACAGGGTGAGTATAATGTTTTAGGCTTTGTGGGCCGTACGTCTCTGTGGCAACTATTCAACTATGCTACTGTGGTACAAAGGCAGCCATAGATAACACAGAAATAAAACTTTAGTTATGAACACTGAAATTTGAATTTCATGTAATTTTCACATGTCATGAAATGTTATTCTTCTTTTGATTTTCTTTCCCAGTTATTTAAAGACATAAAATCATTCTTAGCTCCTGGGCTGGAGGACAGCAGGCATTGGGCCAGATTTGGCCTACAGGCCATAGTTTGCTGACCCCTGTTTTAGATGTGAATTCTCTGGCCAGTGCTATTCAACCTGAGAATCTTTGAATGTAAAGCCAGAGAGACCTCAGCGTCATCCAGTCCATCCCCCTGAATCGACAAATACAGGGAAATGTGGGCCCAAGCAAGAAAGGATATACTGAAGGTCCCAGCACTGGGAGAGGCGGGGCTGGGGCCAGGACCCATCAGGCACTGACTGGGCCCTCTGTGACCCAGCACCTGGCCATGCGGATGAAGTGAAGGAGAAGGAGATGGGCCCGCCTCACCCGCAGTGCACCGAAATCCGGAAGTCACATCTCACAGCTCCCCAGTTCTAGCGCCCGGAGCTCTTCCCTGCCTCTTCCTTCCTTCCCCATGGAGAGGATGGTTTCCCACTCTGGCATTCACTGCTGTGGCAGAATAATTAGTATTTTCTTTCCCTGTGGCCTCTCCTAGGTAGACATAGGGGATGACAAATAATGACAGGGTGAGAGTCCAGAGAAAGAGGCAGTAAAACATTTGTGGGCTCTGGCAAACAATGGTCTTCCTCTCTCCAGAGTGTTCTCCCAGCAGCAGCCCTCAGAAACCATGATAGATAACACATGTCGCCAGCCCGCGGAGGATGCGCCTCCAGACCAGCTAAGCCTCAGCTGTCACACCCTGCCCTGGATTTACAGCAGAGAGAGGGAAAGATGGGGCTAGAGCTTGCTCTCGAGGCTGTGGCGTGCTTGCTGTGAACAGCACCTCTGTGTTCCTGAATTGTTTCTAAGAGTTAGTTTATTTTTTTTCCCTTTATTTTTTGTAACTGGATAGAAAACAGAAAAAGGCCAGATAGATTTATTTCATTTTAGTTGTTTATATTCTTTCCTACACTTAGAGTTTTTGAGGTGTCATAGCATAAAAGATAGAGTCAAGAAAATTATTTAGAAGGGTTCAAATTACACAGACCTTGTAATGAAGATGGTATGGGTGTTGAAAGAAGAAACCAAGAAGAGTAGTAGTTATATGAAAGATACTGAATGTTATCACCCTCTGAACAAAAAGAAAGAAACTCCAGAGTATGCAATTTATCCTTCTAATTGTTTCTCTGAGTGTATTTTTACAGGCAGCTTAAAGTTCGGTATTCAAGCAAATAGCTTTCTTCACATCTGACCTGAAATAGGACCCGGGCTAGAGAATCTGGCCCTGGGGAATGAGTGATTGGCATGCCCCTTAGATAAACTCTCCCGTGACCCATCGCCTGAGGAAGTGCGCAGTATTCAATCTAGAGTTGACACAGTCAGCTGGGTCTGAATGATTCATAGTGTTTGCCATTGATTAGAGGGAGATCCTTCTGTATTAGCAAAGTGTTCCTTTTCCCTGAGAATTTCTGATGACTCAGTTATTGGTATAATTGTTGTTGTTAGGGTCATCCTGCAGGAAGGTCACTGTCCAGGTTGGTGGTGATAATGACCAGGAGGTGGAAACAGTGGGAGAAGAGAAGGCCAGAAATATGGAGAAAACCCTTCTGTATTTCCTTATTCTAGCAATATGGTTCCTGAAGAAGACTACACCGCATTCCATAAGAATGGATTTTTCTATACCTTTTAGAATCTGCTATTCAGTAAGCTACCTAATTGTTTAAAAATTCCGCTGCAATTGCAGATGGAAGAAAGGCAGAAATACTAGTCTCAGCCTGCTCTACATTTCATCACTGTTTTTTTAAATGGAGATACGAAATTTGTCGGCCATCGATGGGCTTTTTTGGCATCAGGAGTCAAAGCATTTCCCCGCCTGAAAACAATGGTGAAAAATAACATAGATGTTGCACATGAACGTTTGCAGAGAATCCAACATTAAGACATTTGTTAAAAATACAATAATACCAGCTCTCCCATCCTCCTGGCTCTGAAGAACGAAATAGCGTAAACCAGAGTCCTTTCTTCTTTGCTCACCCCATTCATGCTTGAATGGGGATTTCCCGGACATGTCAGGAGATTTCTTTTCAATTCTGTGCTCTCATGTTTCATTTCAAATTAGTTATTTCAATTGCGGTTCAATACTCTTTCCTTTTCCTGTGTCTTAGGGGTGTTGTTTTTGGTGAATTTTTTTTTAATCAGGAGTTGGCAACAACCACTCGTCTGCTCTATCTTGGTTTTTTAATTTATTTATTCTTTGAAGCCAAACCAACTATTACAAACGAAGACACGGTTTTCTAGGGAAGAGCTGGCTTCAGCTAGATCCCTATACGTCCTGTCATATGTGAAGAGGCCTGGTTAGGTTTCCACTCCTTTTTTGTGGCTTTGCCCTTCTGACCTCAACTTCAGAGATACCTGAAGTTCAGAGAGTCCCTGAATTCTCTCTCTAGTCCCCAGGCCACCAAGCAGCATTTCATTTCTTCTTCTCTCCTACTCACTTCCTACTCAACTTTCTTTTAAATTTATTTTTTAACTGGCAAATAGAATTATATATATTTTACTCATCTTTTTAAAAATAACATCTTTATTGAGATACTACTGTGTTTCTTGAAGTTCATGTTTAATGTGTATAATTCAATTATTTTAGTATGCTTACAGAGTGGAACAACCATCATCATAATCTAATTTTAGAACATTTGTATCACCCCAAAATGAAACTGTACATATTAGCAATCACTCCATATATTAATTTTCTATTACTGCTATAACAAATTCCCACAAAGTTAGTGGCATAAAACAACACAAATTTATCTTATAGTACTAGAGGACAGAAGTCCAAATCGGATCTCACTGTGCTAAACTCAAAGTCCCGGCACGGCCGCGTTCCCTGCTGGAGGCTCCGGGGAGGATCCATTTCTTGCCTTTTCCAGCTTCTAGAGGCGGCTGCATTCCTTGGCTGATGGCCATGTTCAAAGCCAGCAATGGCTGGTCAAATGTTTGCCATGATGCTGTCTCTTTAATTCTGACTCTTCTGCCTCCCTCTTCCCTATATAAGTGCCCTTGTGATTACAATGTGGAATACCCTTGGATAATCTAAGATAACCTCTTTTATTTTTTTTTTTATTTTTTATTTTTTTGAGACAGAGTTTCACTCTGTCACCCAGACTAGAGTACCATGGCATCAGCCTAGCTCACAGCAATCTCAAACTCCTGGGCTCAAGTGATCCCCCTGCCTCAGCCACCTGAGTAGCTGGGACTACAGGTGTGCACCACCACACCTGGCTAATTTTTTCTATTTTTTGTAGCGTCAGGGTTTCGTTCTTGCTCAGGCTGGTTTTGAACTCCTGACCTCAAGCTATCCTCCCTCCTCAGCCTCCCAGAGTGCTAGGATTACAGGCTTGAGACACCACACCCAGCCCAGTAACCTCTTTATTTTAAGGTCACTTGATTAGCAACCTTAATTCCCGCTTGCCGTGTAACATGCAGTTTCCACAGATGAGGACATGGACATCTTTGGGGGCCTGTTACGCTGCCTGTCACATGCTGTTCTCTCTAGCCCCCAGCCCTGGACAACCATAATCTACTTTCTGGCTGTATAGACCTACCCATCTGTTTTATTCCCCTTCATATTTCATTTCTTCCTTGAGTTTCATGTTCATCCTTTCCTATATCTCATTGCTCTTATTAGTTTCTTCATGGCTGCCAGCTTTTCCGTCATTTCTCAGGAAACAACTGGCTTCTGGAGACAGAATATGGAGAGATGGTAGGGAGGGTAAGAGGTGTAAGATTTTCTAGAACCAAATGCTAGGACAGAAAGGAGGGGCACAGATATCATCAAACAGTATTAGAAAGTGAGAAGCTGTAAATTGCATAGAAACTAAATCAGCTGAATGGTGCAGTAAAAATAAGCCATCCTATAAGAGTGATCTACTTTGTCTTTGAGAGTCTCTATTACCTCAAACTGTCAAAAGATAGAGGTTGGACCAGCTCAGGGGTTCTCATGGGGTGGTTCCTGGGTCAGCAGCAGCAGCATCTCCTGGGCACTTGTTAGAAATGCAAATCCTCCAGCCCCATCCTAGCCCGACTGTGACAGAAACTCTGGGCATGGTCCCCGCCACATGCCCTGACTCTGTGTTTTAGCAAGTCCCTCAGATGATCCTGATATTATGTTAAAATTTGAGAACCATTAGACTAGGTTATGATGTCGGAGTTCCCACCAAACGTAATAGGGTATAAGTAAATTTCTAGGTATGTGAAAAGAAATATAATTTTTAGTAGGAAGGAAGATGACAAGGAAATGCTAAAAGGGAATAAGGTAATTTGAAAGTTTGGGGTTTTTAAGTAGGTATTAGAAGGATTTCTATTTTGTTGAAATTTCCCATCGTTCAATATTTCACTTCAAGTCCCGACCTTCTAGATCCAAACCCTAGAGTTTCTGTATATGATTTCAAAGAATCTTAGAGCATATATTGCGTGACGGGACACAAAGATCTGTTATTTTCCATTAAAACTTGCTATGTGTGTTCCACACCCACAGGTCTACAACACTGGCCCGAGCACCCTTCCTGGGTCATCTGTCAGCATCTCTTTCCCCAATCGACTCTCGTCTGGTGGCGCAGAGATGTTTCATGTCCAGGAAATGATGGTGAGTTCCCCGTTGCTTTCAGACTTGAGCCAGTGCATTTGAATTTTGTATTCCACCTCACCCTGACATCCACCCTGGGGGCCCAGAAAAGCTAACTCATTTTACCCTTTGGAAACATATCTTGGAAAGCTGGGGGGCCTGTGATACCTGAATTTCTGCATTGAGACAGTTTGGTTAATGCCATAGGAAGTCCTCTTTGGGGATGGGAAGGGTTTGTTATGAACCCAACTCCTGAGATGGACTTTTCTGGATCTGGGAACCTCTGGCAGCTGTCTGCAGTCTCGTGTGTGTCTGAATACATTTTGCTGAGATCTGCAGCAGTCATAAAGATTGTCAAAGGGCTACTGATGCCTGAAGATAAAGGACATAAGTGTAGGTTGACACTCCAGTTTATATGCAGAATATGCAACTCTACCTGATCCTGAGTCAACTGTAGATGATGTTTATCTCAAGGGAAGCTTGATAACTGGTATGTGACCATTGCTGCCCATCTCCTTGAAACATTCTCTTCGGCTTCCAGGACATCGCATTCTTTTGGTTTCACCTTTCTCACTGGTTTTTCTCCTTATCTCCCCAACTTCTAGAGGGCCCAGGACCTCCTATATTCTACACTGGTCTCCAAGATCTCACCCAGACTCATGGCTTTAAATCCAGCCTGTGCTGGTGCCACGAAATTTTTCTCTGCAGCCCGGACCTTTGCCATGGATTCCAGGCCTTGATAGCCAACTATCTTTAGGCCATCTCTACCTGGATGCCTAACAGGCATCTCAGTATTATCCAGAACTGAACTCTTGACTGTACCCTTCCATAGCTGCTTCTCCCTGAACCTTCCCTGTCCCTGCAGAGGGCTACTCCATCCTTTAGTTGCTCAGGTCAAAAACCTGGGGTCATCCTTGATGCCTCTCTTTTTCCCCACATTTCACATCTAACCCATGAGCAACCCTGATATCTCCACCTTCACAACAAATCCAGAATGTTACCACTTCTGCACCTCCACATCCAGCACCCTGGTCTAAGGTGTCATCATCTGTCACCTGGGTTATAGCAGCAATCCCCTCACTGGGGTCTCTGCTTCTGCCCCAGTTCCTTGCAATTCATTCTTGACCTAGCAGCAGAGTGATCCTTCCAAAATATGAATCAAGTCATGTCATGCCTCTGTTTAAAGCCTCCAATGGCTTTTTTTCTTCCCACATCCCTCCAGAAACTCTGCTGACCTCACAGTCTATTACCTGTGGCTCTCTGACCTCATCTCCTCCTCCTCTTCCCTACTCCCCTCTGCTCCAGCCACACTGCCTCCTTGCTGGTCCTAGGGTACACTGGACACCCTCCCTCCTCCAGAATTTTGCACTCCCTCTTCTCCCCCTGGGATGCCCTTCCCACAGCTATCCACATGACCTCCCACCTCACCTCCTTCAGGTGCTTGCTCGGTTGTCACCTCTTCAGTGAGACCTCCCTGACCACCCTGTGTCCCAGCACACTTATCCCCCGTTCCTGCTCATATTTCACCGTAACCCTTGTCACCAGCTGATGTCTCATCTATTTTATTTATTTATTTATTTGTTTGTTTATTTTTTTTTTTTACCATCTCTTTTCTTATTAGACCAGTTTATCTGCCTCCTCCCCACCCTCTACAATAAAAGGACAGGGATTGCCGTCTGCCTGCTCACTGCTGTATCTCCAGGACCAAATGCAGTGTTTCGTGTGTTAGTCTGTTTGTGTTGCTATGAAGGAATACCTGAGGCTGGGTAATTTATAAAGAAAAGAGGTCTATTTGGCTCACAGTTCTGCAGGCTGTACAAGAATCTTGGTACCAATGTCTGCTTCAAGTGAGGCCTCAGAGATCTTCCAATCAAGGTGGAAGGGGAAGAGGAAGGAGGAATGTGACATGGTGAGAGAGGGAGCAAGGGACAGAGGATAGGTGCCAGGCTCTTTTAAACAACCAGCTCTCTCACAAACTAGTAGAGCCAGAACTCACTCATTATCGTGGGAGGGCACTAAGCCATTCATGAGGGATCAGCCCCCATGACCCAAACACCTCCCACCAGACCCCACCTCCATCAGTGGGGATCAGATTTCAGCGTGAGATTTGAAGGGGCAAAACATCCAAATGACATCACATGGCATATGACATATGCTCAATAAATGTTTGTGGACTGAAAGAATAAATCCACAATATAAAACACAGCTGATTACTCTTTCTAAGTGAATTCAGGAAAGTCTTATATTGATATAAATCCTGACAGAATCCTTTTGCTCAGCTATTTGGATTTTGACTGCTGAGCAATGATTTAACACCTCCAACCTGTGTCCTCATATCAGAATACTCAGGGAGCCACTTGTGTCCCAGACACTGGAGTGGCGGAGTGTGATGGTGGTACCTCCTGGTGAACTGGGCAGGCCTAGGGCACAACAGTCACCACACAGGGAGAGCACGTGCAGGCCACGTGGAGAAGATTGTAAACATTGCTCTCTGTATGGGCGCATGAGAGACATTCAGCCAAAAGAACAAGCTGTTTCCATAGATAGCTTGAAAATCAGGGCAGCAAAGCCCACAGCCTGTGACTCATCTGAGCCCAGAGTGGGACAGGATACAGCCCACAGGGCGGAGGCACAGAAAACATTGTGTGATGGTGATAATAGTTTCTGGCATTGCTGTCCTCCTGGGTCACGTGTGTGGAAACCCAGAACCATGTGAATGGTGAGTGTATAACAGGTCACCCCTCCTGAAGCGCCTGCTCAGTTTACACCCCTCACGATATTCCATTCATGCTCCATGGCGTGCCCTCGTGTGGGGGCTCTGAGCGGGCAGAAGAAAAGCCCCCAGTGTTCTGTGCCCACAGCGTGCCATGGTTTGAACTTAGCATGAGGTTAACAAACCACACGTGTTCCTGTCTACACTCTTAAGTATTATTAACCATACTGATCACGCCATCTTTTCCCCCAACATCTAGGGATGTCCTTTTTTTTATTTATTTCAAAATATTATAGGAGTATAAATGTTTTGGTTACATGTATCGATTTTGTTATGCTCGAGTCAGGGTTATATGTGTGCCCATCACCTAGATAGTGTTCATTGTACCCGAGAGGCAGGTTTTCACGCAACCCTTCCTTTCCGCCCCCCACCAGCTCCACTTGATTTCCACTGGATTTTACTTCCCTCGGTGCACATGTGTGCTTATCAGATAGTTCCAATTTAATAACAAGTGCATGTGTTTGTTTTTCCATTCTTTAGATACTTCACTTAGGATAACAGTCTCCAGTTCCATCCAAATTGTTGCAAAAGGTCTTAATTCATCCTTCTTCATGGCATAGTAGTATTCCATAGTGTGTGTGTGTGTGTGTGTGTGTGTGTGTGTGT